CCCCCCCCCCCCATCCCCCATCTCATGCCATTCTAATGCTTGGAAGAGCCAGGACAATTTTTTATATAACTACAATTGGATTAGTCTGAAAGAAGAAAGTCATATTGTTTGTTTTGACATGGATGCTTTGAGGGTGAGTAAAATATGGGCTAATTTTCATTTTTGGGTGAACTAACCCTTTAAGTATTATAGCTCAATGTGTCAGTGCACAAGCACTAGGCCACAAGGTGTGTAAGCTTCTGCACAATACTAGGACTTCCTGATGAGCGTGTCCTGAGGTTATGGATGAGTGAGCAAGACAAACTTCTGAGTCCCAAATGAAGCCCCTCAGACCACTCTCTGGTCATACGGAGCACGGTTCACACATCGCTGGACCACAAACAGCAACTGAGCTGAACTTCAGCCATATGAGAAAGCTCTGTGATGGCAGACAGCTCAAATTCTTCTCTTCTGACAGAACCACTAATCACACCCAATCAGCTGCTGGTGGTAAATGGGCCCGAATGGACGGCTAGCAGCGAAGCATCCCGGCCCACTGTCTGATACCACACACACTGAGGTAAACAAATATCACACAGCCCATTAGTCCTCGAGCTCATTCCACGGCCTTCTGCCAGCCTGTGAACCGGCAACGGCATTTTACGAACTCCGTATCAAATGTAAGGAAACAAGAGAAAAAAAACAGAAGAGAAAGGAACAAGAGGCGAGAAAAGGGTTTCAAACAAAAACAAGGCCATTAAAAGCCAGGCCAGCCAGTGCGCTAAGGTGCCATGAGTCATGATCTTCAAGCGGATCGGGTTGTGGCGGAGATGCGGGCAGGCTGGGGCGCTGAGGTGTGTTAATGTGAATGACAAGCTCCAAGCGCACACCGGCGGGCTAATGGCCACCGGCTCGCTCTGATGGACACACATATACATACACAAACTTCCCTCATCACACACTTTTGCCTGAATTCACATGCAAATGTGCGTGTGTGTGTGAAATACTCAAGCACTTTCCCCGACATGATATGCCATTAGTATCAGGACGGATTTCGGTAATTCTGTTAAAGTGCAGCCGGTCCTGTAATTTTCCCTCGCTCGGTGACAGGATGAGTCCGAGCGAGAGGGAGGGGGCAGCCAAAGAGTGACACGCATCGTGAAAAGAGAGACGGAGCGTGTATTTTCACCATCACTGTGTGCACAAAGCAAAGAGGAAACACTTTTATTGTAATTGCGTCTTCCATGAGCATGGAGAAATCCACCGTGGAATTCAGATAATGGCTGATTAATGTCCCCATGCGGATAGACAGGTGTCTCAGACCTCACTCTTGCACGTAGACGCACTCTCACGGCCGCTCACGCTGAACGCCGCCTTTAAGAAACTAATTAAGCAAGTGGCAAGCTTTTGATAGCGCCGTGATAAGTAATACAAAATGCTCATTGCTACCTTGATGTCCTAAGTGGTTTAAAAAGTGAGGCAAGGCACACCTAATGTGACAGCCCACATTATTTGTGACAAACTAAACTAAATTATTTCATTAATCCAGGATGGTGAAAATAAGAGGGCGTCTGTAATTATTTCAACAGGGCCTGACGCTATCACACGGGCACAGACGTGACCACTAACCTTCCAGCTTGCCGTGTTTGGATAGCACTCGGACCAAGGCCACATACTTCTGAGCATCCAGCGCTGCATCAGAGTCCTTGCGAGCCCTGAAACGCCAAAGAGGAGTAAACACAGGTTGACAAATGAATTTTTAAGTCACATTCTTTGTGCTGCGAATGTTTCAAATTCAAAGGGATACTTCACTTGAGAATTAAGCTGTCATTATTTGCTCACCCCCTCATGTTCCTTCTGAATTTATTTCATTCGTGAAAGAAAAAGGTGATTTTTTTTTTTTTACAAATATCCAAGCCACTATTAAATAAATAATACCCACCAAAAAAGTGGTTCAAACGACTCATATAGGACTGTGATTGTCTGACCAAAAGCAAATAAAATTAAAGTTATTATTCACTGATCATTTTGACATTCACTTTACTTAGCATGTTAATGAGCACTCATGAGAGAACTATAGATGCGAACGAATCATTCTATGAAGCCAGACTTGGTTGATTCAGTTCTCAAAACTGGTCTGAATGATTTGTTTAGAACAGCACGAATTGACTGATTCAGTTCTCAAGCTTAACTTACTTGTTCCAGTTACAGTGGTTGAAGTCAGCATGAAACGGAAATTACAATCTTTATTTTTTAATATTGCACACATCTTCAGAGAAGAGATGTTGCTATCAGAAGATGTGGAACTTAGTCGTATGGACTACTTTTATGTTGCTTTTGCATCCTTTATGAAGCTTGAATGCTCCATCTCAATTCATTGTAAAAAAGCAACCAGAATGTTCTTCAAAAATTTCCTTGCGGTACATGGAAAGGTCTTACAATTGTGGAATGATATGAGGCTGAGTGAATAATGACATTTTAAGTACTTGGTGAACTGTTCCTTTAACTGTTCACAAAGCAAAAGAAGGATGTTTGTATGACGGTGATAATGTGTACGTCTAACTTACAATTCCATCTTTAGCTTGAGGGCTTCCTCGGCATTGTCATGGCGGCAGCACAAGTTGATGAGCGTGGCATATGCGGCAGGAGTCATATCCGTTTCATACTGAGTTTTAAGCTCCAGAGCTCGCTCCAGTTTCTAATGAGAGATATAAAGTTATAGAAAAAATCAACTGCAAACATGTATACACAAATACTGACGAATGGTTTTGAATGGTGACTAGTGACAGACCAATATCCACCATATATTATAATATGGAACCAAGCTATTTTCTGTGAATGTGCGGGACTTCATTAGCCACTATAGGTAATAAACTAGCAGAATACAATTTTTGTACAGCTAAAATAACTGGAGACTGAAGTCTTGCACATTCAAGTTAACAATGTCCGAACCCACCCAATGCATTCAAAATAAGGTGCATAATTGGTTCAATCAAATCAGTTGACCACTATAAATGTCTATAAAAATAGTAATCAGTGTCCAGAACACTAAATATACTGATGGGTATTTATGAGAATAATAGACCTCACCTCCTCAGAACACAGGACAGTGATTACTTTTTTGAGGGTGGAACTGGCTGGCTTGCCCTCAGCTTTCAGCTCTGCCAGGGTCTTCTCCAGGAATGAAAGTTTCCCCTCCAAACCCTAACAAAAACATGAGTTCATCTGACTGACACAGCTCAGCTCATGGATTGAGCACTTTTGGTTAAAAAAAAATATATACATACAAATACTTACTCTAAGCAGTGTTGCATCAGCCTCCAACCCATTGCCCTTTTTATCCACAAGATCAAGGACATCCTGAAAGAATTTACCAGTTTGCAACATCAACAGACTATTTTGAACAGCTAAAATAACTGGCAACGGCTGACACAGGAAGTCTTGCACATTCAAGTTAAAAATGGCCGAACCCACCCTTGGGTTTAAAATAAGATGCATAATAAAAACCATTAAGTCCAGAACACTAAATATACTCATGGGTATTTATGAGGATAATAGAACTCACCTCCTCAGCACACAGGACAGTGATTACTTTTTTGAGGGTGGAACTGGCTGGCTTGCCCTCAGCTTTCAGCTCTGCCAGGGTCTTCTCCAGGAATGAAAGTTTCCCCTCCAAACCCTAACAAAAACATGAGTTCATCTGACTGACACAGCTCAGCTCATGGATTGAGCACTTTTGGTTAAAAAAAATATATATACATACAAATACTTACTCTAAGCAGTGTTGCATCAGCCTCCAACCCATTGCCCTTTTTATCCACAAGAGCAAGGACATCCTGAAAGAAAAAAATATGACCTGCTCTAATTAACTGTACTATTACAGATCTGGAAAAAATGATTAAAGACAGATTTGTAAAGTTTTTGAAGAAAATATTTAGTGGTTTTGCCATGCAAAAATCTATGTGATGCCAGGGTGTTGCTATGCAATTAATTAATTAGCTAATGCTAATTAATGCACAATGTGTTTTTTGGCCATTTTATTGTCTGCCAGGTAAAAAATAAAGCCTTTTCACTTAGAAAAGTACTAGCACACCTCTAATGTTGAATTTTGGTATAATTCTTGGCTGAAAGCTGTGGAAATTGTGTCAGATTCAAATCTCCAAGTATAGAAAATTACTTGTCTTTGCAAACAACACTATTTATAAAATACCTTGACAAGTTCTGGAACTTGGTAGGACTCCAGAATGTTCCTGATTCCTCTGAAGATGTTCAGCGAGATGCTGATATTCTGAAAGAAGAGAAATTATTAACATTGAGTAACTACTGATCTAACAAAGTAACAAATGATCTTTAGTTTTGCTTCAGTGCTTCTGTATGCATGTTATTCTGGTCACTAATGTATTTTGAATAATGTAGCATTTAAGAGCAAATAATCAAAACTGTAGATGCAGAATTAAACATTTCTTGTTCTTTGTGTTAAGTAGCTTTTATTTTGTAAAGCTAAAAGCTCTGCGTACAAGCTTAGCATACTGCCATTTGATTAAAACTACAGTAAATACAGTCATTGTGAAATATTATTACAATTTAACTGTTTTCTAATTTAATATATTTTATAATGTCATTTATTCCTGTGTTGGAAAAAAGCAGAATTTTCAGCAGCCATTACTCCTGTCTTCACTGTCACATGATCCTTCAGAAATATTTCTAAAATGCTTGTTTTTTCTAAAATATTTTTGTGAACTGATATATTTTTTCTCTGGATTCAAAAAGAACAGCATTTATGTAAAACAAAAATCTTTTATAACGTAAGTTTTTACTGTCACTCACATTTAATGCATACGTGCTGAAACGACTTATTGATCCCACATTTTGAACGAGTGTAGTGTACATATGTTTTTATCTGATCATAAGGTATTGTGAATGGCTATCTGCTGGGGTCCTAGACAGATTCGATTTAACAGGCATACCGAGCGGTTCACGACACTATGCTTGAGTGTTTGCCAACGTACCATGTTCTTAAGCAGGCCGAAGTACTCCCTAATCTGCTCTTCTTTGGAGTGCACCTCTGTCTCGTTCAGGGAATCAATCAGGTTGTAAAGGAAGTAGGCCACATTTTCTGCAAAAAGGAGAGAAGAACCAATTTGACACTTTCTGCTTTCTATAAATACATTAATAGAGTCATATAAATACACAAAGGGAGCTTCTGTAGGACCAGAACAACAAAAATACTGCAATCCAGCAAATAAGCTCTTAAACCATGTGTGTGTGTGTGTTATGCTGACACAAGCAGTTTGCTGCAGACTTGACTGAAGTCTGTTTTAACAAGTGGCTGGCAGCTGACAGCCTCACGCACACATTTGCGTTGTTACCATCTTTCTTAAAATCACTTGGTTTCATGCTTACCTTTGCCATAAGCTCCACATTGTGAAACCTGTAGGGGGCAGTAGAGGATCAGAGATGACTCTCATACAGACACGGGCAAAAACATTTCTACTGCAACTTTCAAACAAAATACTTTGGCTGATCATCTGTCAGAGAGTGATTTCAAGATCAAGGGCATATTTGGTGTGACTGGGCTTCATTTGACATATCAGAACATATAACAGGGTCCTCACACTTTTTGACCATTGAATCTCTGTGATTTCTTTCCATGATTTTTCCGGTCACCCATGATAACTGTATAAAGATTTTTTTAAAATAATTAAAAAGAGACTGCAATCAAAAGGTGAATAAAATACTTTATAGCAGTGAATAATGAGAAAATAATATATAATAATAATGATATATTTAAAACATGTTATGACGCTCACCAAGGCTGCATTTATTTAATCGAAAATACAGTTAAAATAAAAACATTGTGAATTATTACATTTTAATTGAATTTTGAATGCTTTGAAACTATATGTATTGTGAAAAGTGCTATCTAAATAAATGTGAACTGAAATGAACAATGTATTTTATTCCTGTGATGACAAAGCTGAGTTTTCAGCATCATTACTCCAGTCTTCAGTGTTACATGATCCTTTAGAAATCATTCTAATATGCTGATTTGGTGAATAAGAAAAATTTCTTATTATTATCAATGTTAAAAAGTACTGCTGCCAATTTCCAAAACTGGAATACATTTTCTACAGGATCCTTTGATGTATAGAAAGTTTAAAAGAACAACATTTATTTGAAATAGAAATATTTTGTAACATTATAAAACTCTTTACTGTCACTTTTGATCAATTTAATACATCCTTGCTAAATAAAAATATACATTTCTTTAAAAAAAAAAACTTGCTGACCTAAAACTTTAGTATAGATTACTATATATTGTATGATTATATGTTTTGAGTAATAGTAATATAGTCATCATATAATATCATTAATATATTTATAGTATATTTAAAAAAAAAAAACCTTTCTAGAGCCTCAGTGGTCACATATATACACAAATGCACATTCACACACAGTCCGACAACACGCTGAGAAATCAAGATGCAGTAGTAGTAGGGAGTGTTGACGGCAGACAGCAGGGAGACAAGGAAGGAAAAAAAGATTCAACATTGTTTAATGATTAAATTATCTTCTGACCTTGATTATTACAAGAGCAGGTCGCTAAGGAGACAGGGCCCCGACAACCCCCTCTACCCTTCTGACAACCCCAATTACAAACCTGACATCCATCGCTTCCGGCAACCTCCCTGCTCAGCTTTCACATCTAAATGCTTTGCTAAATACAGAGGACAGCAGCATCTGCTGCCCTACGGCCTCTGCGCTCAAATCAGAGTTAGCACACACACACAGTTTGTTTCGTTACTTACCCTCTGAATCCAGAGATCAGACTGGCTCTGAAAGCACTGAGGTCAATGTTTGGAAGAGCAGGTGAAGACACTGCAAGAGTGTGAATGTAATAAATATCATGACAACAGAAACATTTCAAACATATAACCCCGTTAACATCGTAACTAAAGCTAATTTTCTTAGTGAGGTGCATTTTGAATTATTATGGATTTAGACCTTTTGGCAAACTTTCTGGGTAAAAAAAAAAAAAAAAAAGTAATTCCAGTACTAAAACTCCTTTTGAATTCAAATTAAACCAATAGGAATTAAGTCTAAAAAAAAAGAAAAGAGACAGCAGGGGGCACAACTGTGAAGGGGAAAAGGTAGCCTACCATCCATAATTCAACAGCATCTGTCCCCATTTACCTTGGTCAGATAAGGAGCTTCACTCCATTGCTTAATTTTGCATATATAAACACAGTATATATACACAGTATATATGTATATACTTTTTTCACTCTCTAATCACTTAAATGACCTAATGGGCATGTAGCTGCTTGGTAGAGTGCATGTTTGAGTGGATATGTATGTGAAGTCCAGATGGACGGCAATTAGTCTCCAAGTGATGAGTACTATCATACAGGGAGGGTACATCTAAAAAAATCTCTCCACAGAGTACATGATATACAGACAGACAGAGAGTGGTTGAAAGAAAGGAAAAGAGGTCAATTTTCATGAAAGCTAATGCTTACTCAGAGAGAACAGCCCTGCAAGGTTTCCACGTGACGCTTCTGTTCGTAATTCTGCCGCAATCAAAATATTGCCGTCCACGTCAATACCTGCCTCCTGCAATTATCAACCCAAGTTAAAGAGTGTTTCAGAACGGTCACATAAACCAACAAGCCACACACATATCCAGCACAATAACCTTAAGAGAAGTGCGGGCACTGTCCACTGATGGGAAAGATGGCAGGATATAGATACTAAAAGTATCAACGTCTGATGCGACGCCCAGTTCTTGCATGGCTCTCAGAGCTTGCAGAGTACCTGAAAGGAAACAAAAAGTGATTTATTCAAACATGTGCACCTTAAAATGTAATTCATGACAGACAAAAGTTGCGTCTGCACCAAAGTTCAAAGATGGAAGTCTATGGAGCAAAATAGGGCCCTCAAGTTCTCATGAAACCTTAAGTGACAAATAGGACACTCTATGGTCTTGTAATACATGTGACAAGCAAAGTACAAAAAAGGGGAAACCTGCTTTTTACCTGTAAAGCTTCTCTTTCTCTCCTTGAATTTATGCAATTAATGTGGGTCATACATCATAGGTTGGAAAATACAGATACAAAAAAAAAAAAAATCACATCCCACCATTACACCTGTTCATTCAGTCCACCCAAGCAATGGCTCAGCATTACATATTTGAACCATGATTTCGGTTTTTTTTTAAAAAGATGCTTTCCTATTATGTGGGAAAGAAATAAGCAAAAACATATTTTCACAAGTACTAAGACTCACGCTACACTGGTTCTGGGATTTTTTTTAAACCAGCAACATGACTTAAAGCCCAAGGCTGTTTACAATTCACTGAACCAGGTCTTAAATTGAAAGCATTAATAAACAAATGAAATAAAATACTCTGATAATTAGAATTATCACATCAGTCTTCCAGTGGCATGGCCTGGAGGAACACCTCCTTCAGGCAGAGGATTCAGGCCTGTACCCGGCTCTCCAGCAGGGCCCTTCACTCCTGCCTAAAGCACCACATGCATATGGAACAGTCTCTCGACCTACTCGGGCAAACGTTTGTGTGTGTGGGAACACGTGAACTAGCGATTTGTGTTCTGTTTACTCTTCACCTTGGTCCTTAGCACTCTGTATCGCAATGCTCAGGGGACACCTACACACCTGAATAAAAGATAAGAGCTGCTTTTATCTGCCATTAAAACCTGCATCTGGCACCAGGAGCGGCCGACAACCGGTGTGTGAGAGCATTAGCCAGGTAAAGCACCTGGAGGCTCCATCCATCCATCCATCCATCCATCCCATCTCTCCATTTCATTCTCATCTGTGCGTCTTTCTCCATTCATCCTTTCTTGCTACTCAGTAGCTCTTTGCTTTCATGCAAACGTAAACAGTCATCCAGACACTCTCTTCTCAATGGAGCCTGAGGGCCGTCTGTCTGTTCATTCTTTCATTTTTATGAGAGAAGCACACCTGTTTTGCTCTTAAATATTCCATTGATCCATTTGTCAGCCATAAAAGTTGGCCCAGACAGCGCTAGCATGTAGCATGTGAATGGGGATAGAAAATGGATATCCGGTCACATCACCCGCCGATTCAAGACTTCTCTCAATTCAGAAAGTGTGTGAGAGGGCTTTTATGGAACAAATCCGGTTCAATGAATTCTCGGGCGACCTCCAAGTTTCTGTCTGCTACATCACCGGGTTTGATGATTGACCTGTAAGTGCGGGAAGTAACCAAGACTGCGGTCTCTCTTACTAGAGGAGCACTAAAAGGGAGAGGTCAGAGTTCAAACTGTCAACAAGCTCACTTTTGAAATGAAATGGATTTAAAAATTTTAAAAAGCCAAAAGTATATCTTGCTAGAAGCAAAACTTGAAGTCTGCTTGGGTCTGTTGAAACAGGAAAGCACATATACATAAATGTTCAAAAAGTTTTTTTCAGCAAGAAATTCAAAGATGCATTAAATTGATTAAAAGTCACAATGAAGACATTTATAATGTTATAACGTATAAAGATTTCTATTTCAAATAAAAATACTTTCTATTCTTAAAAGAATCCTCCAAAAAAAGTATAATGACATTGAATTAACATTGATAATAACAAGAACTGTTTCTTGAACACCAAGAATGATTTCTGAATGACCATGTGACTGGAGTAATTAAATTCAGCTTTACATCACAGGTATAAATTATGTTTTAAAATATATTCAATTAGAAAACAGTCATTTGAAATTGTAATAAAATTTCAGATTTTACTGTATTTGATCAAATGAAGATCAAATAAATGCAGCGTTGTTGAATATAAGAGCCTATAAGAATATGAGAATATAAGAGACAGAAAATAAAGACTAGGAAAAGCTAAATCAAGTCAACAAATTCCACATAAGCCTGCTTATGAGGTTTAAATTCACTTAGAATGCTCATTTAAAAGGCAGCTGCCTTTATGGTCAGAAGACAAACAGGACACTAGGTTTTGAAAGTTTCTAGGTTTCTGTAGTGCTATTACTATACATTTTCTGACAACAGACAGAGCGTGTAAGAACAAGTCGAATCCATTGCAGATTGAGTCTTCCTGTTTTATGTAATCCAGAAAGAAAAATGTGCCAGTTCAAGAAAGCTCCAGAAACAAGATGATATGAAGAAATAGAGAGGAACTAAATGGCAAGATCACTTTCCACCTCTAGTCCTTGAGATTATTCCCCTCAGAAGGATATTAAAGTTGATGGAAGCCCTAAAGTGGCTTTCTGCAGTTACTGTGATTTAAAAGAACCCAGCATCCAATGCAAGTGGATGACAAAACGTGGATTTTCAAAATGTGACTAGTGCAAAGAGTGTTCAAGGTGCAGATGTAAAAGCCTGTTGTGTGCTATGTGAGGGACTAAGGCATTCTTCTCGCTCATGTCACAAGCAATGAGCTGCACTGCTTCTTGAATCTGACAAGCACCGCTCGCTCGCGGCTGCTGAGACAAAGCTAGCATATGCTTTTTCAAACTCGCCTGCCCAAATCCACACCTCATCAAAATGCAAACTTTTCCCCCTCTCCGCACTCGTGAACGGGTGGACGGAAAACCGGTGGGTGGAAAGGGGGATGGGCGTCTGCCCGCTGGTGACACCTGTGGACTGAATGTGAAATGGCGCTAAATATTTCATGGCCGTGCACAGCGGCGCACGTAATTGAAAGTGAATTCCCTCTGAGCGCTCGCATTTACATGAGACCCAGTCACTACAAATTCTGTCATGTAACCTTCACGTAGTGCAGACTTCAACACTGAGCAAACAAACAAACAAAAAAACTGTACAGGAACAGAGAGGTGAGAGTGATCCTGCATGTTTCATGAAGGTTATTGGTTAAAAATGAAATGTTTTTATACTCGCTGTTGCCGTTTCAGCAGGATTTATCTGGACATGCTCTTTTGTCAGAACATTTATTTGTAAGTCTGGAACAGAGAAACTGAAAGAATTATGGAGGAAAAAAATAATATTCATCAACTAGGTGTCAAAAAGAGAGTAAATTTTTCCTATTCCACAGCTTAAGAAATAACTAAATAGACTACTCTAACTTTTCACAATCCAATTCATTCCAGATGGATAATTCCAAATCCTGGAAAATTCTTCCTTTTTGAATATCAATAGGAAATACATCATATTATGGAAGTAAATGTGGCCACAATAATGACTGTACAGATCAGTGTTTAAGAAGAAGGCTGGAAGCTCAGGACTCACCGGGAATGTTCTTGTCTTTCTGGTAATGAGTGAACAGGGGACAGAAGTAGTGAGGTCTGAGAGGCAAGCCCTCCTCCTTCATGCTTCTCATGAGCTCAACAGCCATACCTTAAAATGATGAAGCATATTTCACAAATCAAGCTGTGAGATTATCAGATAAACTAAAAATAAAGAGAAAGAACTGGGCCCAGAAATGTTTAACACAGGATCATTTTAATCCTGTTAAAATAATCCTCCTGTGTATTAATGTTTCAAAATCTCAAACACCTTGTTATCTTTCTTATTAGGTTAATATCTTTGAATTATGCATTTATATTGTAATAACAGCGTCAATGGCTATTTTCACGACAATAACAAAATATTTGAAAACAAAAGAAACAAAAATGGACAAATAAACTTGAATTAAAAGCCTGGGATTTGAAAAGACAATAACTGAGGATTAAGACTGAATTTATGAACTTTAAATCATCATTGCACTCACCGGTCTTTTTAGCTTCCAGGGCACACTGAAGGGTGAACTGCAGTGGCGATGAGTGCAGACCTGAATCTTTTAGATCTTTGCAAAACCCAACTATGTTTTCCACAGGCTGTAAGGCATAAACATACAAATTAACACAGCATTAATAATATTAAGCCGTCTCAGAACAGGAAAGGAAAGGAATAGTTCACCCCAAAATTTTAATTTGGTCATCATTTACTCACCCTCAAGTCATTCCAAACCTGTATAAGTTTCTTTCTCATGTTGAACATAAAAGAAGATCTTTTGAAGAATCAAAGAGTTGATGATGGTCCCCATTGACTATTTTACCCATAGTATTTTTTTCCTTACCATGGAAGTCAATGGGGACCAAAAACTGTTGTAAGAAAGAAACTCATACAGGTTTGGACCGACATAAGGGTAAGTAAATGACAAAAAAAATCATTTTGTGGTGAACTATTCCTTTAACATACATGTACACTTAATATGCACTTGTAAAAATGTTTAGGTTGGTTCCCTTTACCTTGTCCATATTGGCGCAGTGGCGAAGAAAGAAGTTTCCCAAGTCTGGGGAATCACTGGTCTGTGACTCTACCAGCAGGCCGGTGAAGCTCTTTAGCACAGAAAACGCAGTCTCTTCATGTCCGTGGGTAATCAGACTCAAGCAGAGGTTCATAGCGTCTGAGGAAATAGAAACAAATGGGTGGGTCAGTATCAAAATAAAAAACTACATCAATTATTGATAACTTTCCCAAAATCCCATAACAACCTCTCACTGCATCAATATTTTATATATCCCATTTCTCTAATTGGCCTGGGTTCATATTTAAAACACTTAAATAGAATACCATTTTGAATACATATGGGACCATTATGGCTCAGTATGGACCACTATGGTAAGCGCTTAGGGCAAAATTCAAAGCTAATGGTTCCATATTCCTTCCTCTTCCATGACACGACACTGCAGTCAGCAGACACACCTGGCACATATCCTCTCTCGTGACGCATGTGCTCCACAATCTCAGGCACATGCTGCTGATGGCTGGCCTTAGTCAGACTGAAAACCACCTGCATCAAATCTCTGTCCATCAGAAGGATATCTGCATTCTCCACCGTCTCTAGAGTCTAGAGGAGACAAAATATGATATATATATATTACCTAAAAACAAATACAAATAAAATCAATTACTGCATTTTAACTTTTGATTATGCTACGGTTCTTAAAATATTTTGTATAAATATAATGTATCCACAACCATTCAAAAATCTGAGGTCAGCAAGCTGTTTTTTTTTAAACATATAAATGAAACATTATACACAGCATTCTCTTGATGAGTCAATTTCATCCCCCACAATAACAGACCTGTTTAATTTTGGCAATATCTCCTTTCTCAGCATACACGTTGAGGAGAGACAGGTACGTGTCTGGGCCCGGCTCAATCCCTGCACCTTTCATGACTGATAGGATGCCTTCAGCGCTGTCCATGTCCCTGTACAATGAATGAATGAATGAATGATGCATTTATATAGCGCTTTATTGTGTATTGTTGTACACCCAAAGCGCTTTACAATCATGTGGGGGGGTCTCTCCTCAACCACCACCAGTGTGCAGCATCCACTTGGATGATGCGACGGCAGCCACAGGACAACGGCACCAGTGCGCTCACCACACACCAGCTACAGGTGGAGAGGAGAGAGAGTCATAGAGCCAATCAAGTGGTTGGGGATTATTAGGAGGCCATGATTGACAAAGGCCAGGGGGGCAATTTGGCCAGGACACCGGGGTTACACCCCTACTCTTTACGAGAAGTGCCATGGGATTTTTAATGACCACAGAGAGTCAGGACCTCAGTTTTAACGTCTCATCCGAAAAACTGTGCTTTTTGACAGTATAGTGTACCCGTCACTATACTGGGGCGTTAGGACCCACGCAGACCACAGGGTGAGCACCCCCTGCTGGCCTCACTAACACCTCTTCCAACAGCAACCTAGTTTTCCCAGGAGGTCTCCCATCCAGGTACTAACCAGGCTCAACCCTGCTTAGCTTCAGTGGGAGACCAGTCTTGGGCTGCAGGGTGATATGGCTGTGGCTGTACAAACAAAACTCACTCAACACAATGGTACCAAACACAAAAAAGCACCAAATCAACGGCACTGTCCACTCACTCACCCTGCACGGGCATGGCCTGTCACTAGTGAGTTGAACACAGCTTCTGTGATGGGCAAGTCTTTGCTCTTCATAAAGCCCAGGATTGTACTGCAAGACGTTGCGAAATAAACACTGTTACTTCAATTTTTTTATTACATAGAATTTGACATAATTCACACCACAAGGGTAAACCAATTGGAAGAAAATCAAAAATCACAACTCGCCTTGCACCTTCAATGTCGCCAACTTCACAATAGGCTGCAATGAGTCTCTGATAGGTCACCTAGCCAGTCACAATATAATATAAATGTAAATAAACATGGTTTCCAATTAAATTTCCTAGCTATCATCAATGATAAGACAATATATCTATATAGCATCATTGTTTGTTGCACCTTGTGTCAGTCTTACAATCTAAAGCCGTATCAATAGATTTTTGTAGTGAATGTTTCATTTAATTTCAGCATTTTTTTTCTGTCCTTGAAGCTGCGATGTATATATATATTGTTTACTCCACCTTCAATTACAATTATACTCACCCTGTTCGGCTGAACATTAGCAGATTCCATTTTAGTAAGGAAGTCGGTTGGAGAGAATCTGAACTCATTCTGCAGGTACGTCTTAAGCAGGGCATTGTAATGGCTTACATCATAGGTGGTGCCTGTAGCGAACAGCAATATGAGAGTTAAAACCAGATTTTGAAGTACAACGAGCAACTGTTCAATTGTCTCTACACATACCCAGTTCTTGAAGCTTGTCCCAGATCTGTTGTGACAGCTCTATGCGCTCAGCCAAGGGAACCTCTGGAAGCAGAGAGCCACAGCTTCTCAGCAACAACAGGGCTTGATTTCCACTTGGATATCCTATCGGAAGTGATTTTAGAAATGAGATGACATGCATGAGATTTATTTATGGAAATGGATGCAAGAAAGATCCTTAAACAAACAGACAAGTACCTGTTCTGCAAATATCATGGAAGATACGCAGCAGCAGTGTTTTGGTGACCCTGCCTGTCCTTCGGACTGAGCTGTCTAGTTTGGCCAGAGCCCAGTCAAACTGCTGAGCCTGCTTGGAACGGACCGCCACACTGGGCTCATCCTTCACCAGCCCCCTCTGCTCCGGGACAACACCATACTGACGACAGCTCACACAGGGCAGGGTCGATCTGTATGAGGACAAACTGCAAAAACAAAAGTGTATACAATCAATCCACATGCATGGCACTACAAGAAATGAAGGTGGTCACTTCAAAACCAATTACGAAATTAACAGGCCTCATTTACAAAAACTGATCAAATCAATGATAAAATTGTGCCCATGTTTCATGCATAAGTATGGGTTATTGCATATATATTGTTGGTCACACTTTAGGGACCAACTCTCACTATTAAATAACTATTAACTACAACTTTTGCCTCAATTAACTCCTAATTTGTTGCTTATTAATATGGAGTAGGACTAAGGGATCTAAAATATGGTCATGCAGAATAAGGTATTAATATGTGCTTTATACGCAAGTACTAATAAACAGCCAATATGCTAGTAATATGCATGCTAATAAGCAACTAGTTAATAGTGAGAATTGGTCCTTAAAATAAAGTGTTACAGTATCGTCTAAGATAATATGATAATTGTTTTAATAATGTGCGAGATGACATTATCAAGTGTGTCACTCACAGCCAAAAAAAAACACACCCTGAGAGTGTCATCTCACACATTATTAAAACAATTATCATAGACGATGTAACACTTTACCATTTAAAGAATGCAGTTAAAATGCCCCCCCCCCAAAAAAAAAATTAGCAAACAAAGCCTCAGAAGAACTGTTGAGCATCATATCGACAATCGCTTCATAAAGACAGTCACTTGCTTTGTTCCTGAATGAGTTTAAACAAATTATTTGAATGAATGATTCAGTGACTTTCCTCCAACCTCTCGGTTGTAGTTTTATATTTAAAAATGTTTCATTTTTCAATATAAATGTTTATTTTTATTTTAAAACAATCTCAATGTCATAGTATTATTTACACAACTGTAATTACAGTGTGAATACATTTATGTTACCTCTGAGCTGCATTAAATAGTCTATTTAAATGTACATAAAAGCCACTTCAAATACAGATTCTGTGTTTCCTCTGCAGTGCAAAGATGGATTTTGTTGATACGGTTTCATTTGATTTGTAACAGACAGTCCTACAGTGTTTTATTATAGTAGAATGTATTGATTAAATACAATAATTTGAAATTATGACACATATTTTAGTAAAAAAAAGTAAAATAAATAGTAAAAATGCTTCTGGGAATTTATTTAAGGGGGGCAAGTATCACCACTTAATGAAAAAGCACATTTCTGTCCCTGCTGTGAACTAGCCACCACATAGAATATGAAGAATATGAAGAATATGAAGAAAACATTGAGTAATCAACAAGCAAGAAACAGACTAAACGTTGGCCAATATGATGTGCAGTATTTTGAGACGGCTCAAGACGACCTTGGCATGTTGACCTTTGACTTTTGGCACATGTTAGCATACAGCTTACTGAAAGACTAGTATTAGCCTAAAACAACTAAACACAACAAAACATTATTGTATTATATGGACACATTTATTTTCATCATAGGTTTTTTAGTCAATGGTTTAGTTCATGGATTAATGGTTATGTATTTAAATGAAGGTTTTAATACCACTACTTCGTTTCCAAAAAAGCAGATTGAAAAATAATCTGACTGAAAAATGTTATAAGCATTACAAAGAAGCTGAAAGAAAAGGTGTAATGGTTACATTCTGCAGTGATGTTCATGGGTCACACATACTGCAGGTTAATGAGCTAATACACATCTCTCTCATATAACGTCATTAGATGATTTGGATTTAGGCCTGTTCATTCAAATTTGGTTAAATAACCTGCATATAGCACATGATCAACGTTTTACAACCGTACAGTATTGTTATAGGAGTGATCACCTCTCAATGACAACTGCATGATCTACACACGCATGGCACAAGAGTCATGCTGCGTTATACCTGTTTACATTTAAGCGTCCCGGGACTGTCTGTACACATAACCCTGCACGAGTAGTCCCGACCGCTTCGCTGTAAAGACGACCAGCTGCCGGTACATGTCTGCTGTTTCCGAAGACCTGAAGCAATGCAGCCGGTGAACATTTAAGGAGCCGGGCTGATCTTAAGAGCGCAGCCATGTTTAGCCTGCAGAGAGAGGAAAAGCGAAGGACATCCGCACCACGTGACAGGCCAGAGAGCAATGGACGACACCAATGTATTCATAGGGGGGATTCAGTCTCCTCAAGTGTATTATTGTTCAAATTGCTCAGATGCTTTCCGTTTGTTAATTCTGACAATATTACGGAAGTTACAAAATTTCCGCAAAAATATACAGCGGTAGGCTATACGCAAATAAGCAAGTATTAACTATTGGTATTAAGAATATGTCCCTAAATAAATAAATACTAAAATATAATCAGTTTACCTTCTAGTGAAATATATATATATATATATAGATAGACTGTCAGTCTGTGCATTAGTGGTGGGGATTCTACATTGATACACCAGTTGTTGGTGACAAGTGACTGGCTATATGAATCGATCAACATACGAGTCATCTGATTCATTCTGAAAAAAAAAGATGAATTCAGGAACAAAACAAGTGACTAATGAGTGATTCAGTGAATGAAATTGAAATTGAATGAATGAAATTCACTCAGCTGAAGTTTTCTAGGACACAAATTCATTCAGGAATGAAACAGGTGACTTATAAGTGAGGCCACTGAATCACTCACTCAACAGATTCATTCAGGAACAAGCCAAGTGACTTATGAGAGAGTCATTAAATCATTCATTCAACTGATTCACTCAGTAACAGAAAAGTGAGCAAGTCATTGAATTATTCACTCAACCAATTCATTCAAAAACACTGGCTGCATCCGAAAGCTGAAAAATGCTGCCTTCAGAGGATGCATTAGGCATCAAGGCATGTCTGAATCCAACATTAGCTTAATAGACTTACTGTCTCCTGAGATACCTTCATCTGATTGATTTTTGAAGGCAGCATAAATGTATCCTTCACTTTGATATCCCACAATCCTGTGCATTCCATTCCATTATGGTTATGGTAAATATATATTTTTGACAAACCTTTTCCACTTTTGATAGTATTTCTAACGAGAAATGACTATTGCAATAATTAAATATTCACTTGCTTATCACTTAAACTCACTCTGTTTTGTTGTAAATCATGCCGCCCCAGAAATCTGTCCAAAAATCAGTTTTGTGAGGTTCCTTCATGCACAAATGCTGTCTGCAAAGTCATTGCCTGATAAGGCAGTGAGGCAACAAGTCAGCAAACCAAGCTTTATGACACAGTCAGTAATTCACTCAGGAACAAAACAAGTAACTTATGAGTGAGTCATTGAATCATTCAATCAACCAATTTTTTTTTCTAAAACACAGATCCTTTCAGGAACTAAACTGTTGGTTGCTCTGAAGCGCAACTCAGCCAGTCCTGCTTTTGGATTCATTATAATTTTCAAGCAAATACACACAACATAACTGTCAGTATTGTGCCTAAATAGTAAGTTACTAAATATTAACTTCTTCATTGAACTGGTAAGCATTATCACAACATAAAGACCATGTATCTCAAAGTTTGTTTGTGTCACTGAGCTGTTAAAGAATTAATCGCCGACCCTCACCTGCAATGTCAGCGAGCACATGCCACTCCCGGAGACTTGTACCGTCAGTTTACTTCTTATTCCGAAGGGAGCCCTTGCTTTTCGTTGGCATGAGAGCTAAAAGTGGTGAGCTCAGGGGAAGAAATATCTCAAGGTCACTGAATTATAGAAGAGGAGAGATGAGGTGAGCTGAGAGGAAAGGCCTGCTCCTTTCCCCCTTTCTGTTTGCTGAATGAACTCAAGAAGGGTCTGTTCTGTTTTTCTGCAGCATGAATGCATCTGTGTTAGTGATTTATTATTCATCAAAATTATCAATTATTAACTGATTATTTTCCCTCTTTTACAAAAGATTTTTGCTGATCTTTCTTCCTCCTACTCATAATTGAAAACAATGCCCCACACATATCGTTCTCATTTTCTTATTCAAAATTATTCTATATCCATCTAGAAAAGTTTCTACCATGGAATACAGAATACTGCATTGTTTATGACTTAATAATGTTTGTCAGGTTGGCCAACAAAGCAGGGCACCAGCATCTTGTCACCTACAGGTTATGTCCAGAGGCCTCTGCCATTCCTTATATGACAGGAAGATTTGTTGTCAAAAGGAATGTAGGTAACTTCACATTGCCTGACTTACCTATTAACCGGCACGAGATTATTACCCAACCAGCTCATTATTACCCATTACCCATAATTCAGAATGGATGCTGTCTTTAGACTTTATGTTTTTATTTATGACAGCATAAATTCAAGTGCCTCTGGAATATTTCCCATTACTGTGGACACTAGCTATCTCAGTATATATTGTTTTGGGAAGAAATTAGGTGTAAATAATGTAAATAATTAGCAAATCTAAGCCTCAGAGACTCGACTGTGCTACTGTGCTGAGCTACAGAGAACAGAGAGAGAGAGAGAGCTGAAGTGTTGAGGAAAGAGAGAAAACAGGCCGTCCCTGAGGATTTGTCCGTTTCTGTGTGGATCAGAGAGTGTGAATGTGATGGCAGTTGCAGGGCTCTCTGGTGTGAAGAGTGTTGTTTCTCTGAGATCCTTGTGAACTTGAATGTCACACATGAGGATAGAAGGCAGAACCGTGGGCAGGAAACGACACCGCAAACACATGGAAATCTCAAGGGAGGCAGCACATGAGCACACAGCCTCACAGATCCAAGCTGATGTTTTCTCACATTGTAAGTGCTGACAAAATCTCAGTCATGGCTTTTAGTCATCCCAAGAATGCAATAAGTCATAACAATCATTTATATAAAGAAATTTGTTAGTATATGTGGTGTTTTGTTTGGGCTTTTATAGTTTAAAGGGGTCATATGATGCTATTTCAGATTTTCCTTTCTCTTTGGAGTGTTACAAGCTGTTCGTGAATAGATAAGATCCCTAAAGTTGCAAAGAATAAAAAAACTCAAACCCAAAGAGATATTCTTTATAAAAGTTAAGACTCGTCCACGCCCTCCTAAAACGCCTCGTTTAAACACGCCCCCACATGTCTACATCAAGATGTGGGAAGATTTGCATAACGCCGCCCAAATGTTCACGCAAAGAAAGAAGGTAAGCATTATCACAACATAAAGACCATGTATCTCAAAGTTTGTTTGTGTCACTGAGCTGTTAAAGAATTAATCGCCGACCCTCACCTGCAATGTCAGCGAGCACATGCCACTCCCGGAGACTTGTACCGTCAGTTTACTTCTTATTCCGAAGGGAGCCCTTGCTTTTCGTTGGCATGAGAGCTAAAAGTGGTGAGCTCAGGGGAAGAAATATCTCAAGGTCACTGAATTATAGAAGAGGAGAGATGAGGTGAGCTGAGAGGAAAGGCCTGCTCCTTTCCCCCTTTCTGTTTGCTGAATGAACTCAAGAAGGGTCTGTTCTGTTTTTCTGCAGCATGAATGCATCTGTGTTAGTGATTTATTATTCATCAAAATTATCAATTATTAACTGATTATTTTCCCTCTTTTACAAAAGATTTTTGCTGATCTTTCTTCCTCCTACTCATAATTGAAAACAATGCCCCACACATATCGTTCTCATTTTCTTATTCAAAATTATTCTATATCCATCTAGAAAAGTTTCTACCATGGAATACAGAATACTGCATTGTTTATGACTTAATAATGTTTGTCAGGTTGGCCAACAAAGCAGGGCACCAGCATCTTGTCACCTACAGGTTATGTCCAGAGGCCTCTGCCATTCCTTATATGACAGGAAGATTTGTTGTCAAAAGGAATGTAGGTAACTTCACATTGCCTGACTTACCTATTAACCGGCACGAGATTATTACCCAACCAGCTCATTATTACCCATTACCCATAATTCAGAATGGATGCTGTCTTTAGACTTTATGTTTTTATTTATGACAGCATAAATTCAAGTGCCTCTGGAATATTTCCCATTACTGTGGACACTAGCTATCTCAGTATATATTGTTTTGGGAAGAAATTAGGTGTAAATAATGTAAATAATTAGCAAATCTAAGCCTCAGAGACTCGACTGTGCTACTGTGCTGAGCTACAGAGAACAGAGAGAGAGAGAGAGCTGAAGTGTTGAGGAAAGAGAGAAAACAGGCCGTCCCTGAGGATTTGTCAGTTTCTGTGTGGATCAGAGAGTGTGAATGTGATGGCAGTTGCAGGGCTCTCTGGTGTGAAGAGTGTTGTTTCTCTGAGATCCTTGTGAACTTGAATGTCACACATGAGGATAGAAGGCAGAACCGTGGGCAGGAAACGACACCGCAAACACATGGAAATCTCAAGGGAGGCAGCACATGAGCACACAGCCTCACAGATCCAAGCTGATGTTTTCTCACATTGTAAGTGCTGACAAAATCTCAGTCATGGCTTTTAGTCATCCCAAGAATGCAATAAGTCATAACAATCATTTATATAAAGAAATTTGTTAGTATATGTGGTGTTTTGTTTGGGCTTTTATAGTTTAAAGGGGTCATATGATGCTATTTCAGATTTTCCTTTCTCTTTGGAGTGTTACAAGCTGTTCGTGGAAACTACTTTGTTTGGTCTTCCAAAAGAGGACACGGCTACAAATCAGTGGTTAAGTTGTATTTACAACACTGTTCCAGAACAGTTCAACCCAAATGCAGACATGGTTTTATGTTTACTCGGCGCGATGCAACGCAACGCGTAAAAAGACAGTATAAGTCATTATAATCCGTAATTATGTCCCCACTGGATCAAACAAATGCCTTGTTTATAATGGGTTTTAATGTTCTTGTCTCGTCGCTCCGGCCGGACACGGCATCACAGTATGGTAAGGGGCGTAACATTTCCGTCACACGCTTGAGGTATTCGGCCAATCACAACGCACTAGATCGCTGGCCAATCAGCGTACACCTCACTTTTCAGACCGATGAGCTTTGTAAAAATCGACGCGTTTCAGAAAGGCAGGGCATAGAGGAGAAACAATAATGTACAGTATGTGGAAAATAATGTGTTTTTTTTACCTTAAACCGCATAAACACATTTCATTACACCAAATACACAAAATAATGTTCTTTTTAGCAACATCATATGACCCCT